CCAAATAGCCTGAACTACATGCGAGTACTACAAAGCCTGGCTAATTTTTTTATTTATTGTAGAGATGAGGTCTCCCCAAGTTGCCCAGACTAGTCTGGAACTGGTGGTCTCAGGCAATCCTCTCATGTCGGCCTCCCAAAGTGCTGGGATTACACACTTGAGTCTCCGTGCCCAGCCTAAAGTGGTACTTATAACTAACACTTGTTGAGAGCACTATGTTAACAGGTATTATTCGAAGCATTCTCTACTCATTTCTCGCAATTATTGTCTATAATGTAGAGACTACTATTACCTCAATTTAACAGATGAGGAAGGAAATTGAGGCTTAAATAGCTTTCCAGGGGTAACAGTTAATAAGAGGGAAAGCTAAAATTCAAACCAAGGTCATCTGAATCTAGAATGCTTCAGCTCTACTATACGGCCACTGGATTAAGTTGCATCTGTTAACAATGCATATAAGGGCCTTTAAACAAAATATGTAAGCAGCAATTTGGGGGGCCAAGGTGAAAGGACTGCCTATGCCCACAGCTTCAAGAACAGCCTGGGCAACTTGGCAAGACCTCATCTCTACAATAAATAAAAAAAATCAGCCAGGCATGGTGGTGCATGCCTGTGGTTCCAGCTATTTGGAAGGCTGAGGCGGAAGGATCGTCTGAGCCCAGCAGGTAGAGGCTGTGACAGCCATGAGCGTGACACTATACTCAAGCCTGGGCAACAGAGACTCCAACTCAAAAAAAAAATGTGTGTGTGTGTGTGTGTGTGTGTGTGTGTGTGTGTGTGTGTGTGTGTGTTGTGTGTGTGTGTGTATGTGTGTGTGTGTTTTAAAAGCAAACAAAGCCGGGAGTGCTATCTCATACCTGTAATCTCAGAACTTAGGGAGATGGAAGCAAGCCTGAACTCAGGGGTTTGAGACCAGCCTAAGCAACACAGCTTAGCAACATCTCTACAATAAATTAAAAAATCAGTCAAGTAGCTGCCTGTGGTCCAGCTATTTGGAAGCCTGAGGCGGAAGGATCATCTGAGCCCAGCAGGTCGAGGCTGCAGTGGCCCTGTGTGCCACTGCACTCCAACCTGGGCAACAGAGTGAGACTCCGACTCAACAAAAAAAAACAAAAGCTAAGTACTAGTAATTCATATCTGCACCTCAAGAGAAACATTTCAGTTTAAACTTCTCTATGAGTTTGCCTAATTGTGTATTTATCTTGTAGAGCACCACCGTACTCTCTACACATACACACAACTGGTAAATTAACCTGTATGCCCCAAAGACTATATTACAGTCCCTGAAATATGGCAGATACTCAATAAACGGTTGTCCAGAGGACTGAAAAGCATTCACTAGGTGTTTAATAAATATTTATTGAATCAGTGACTGAGTAGAGATATCAATAGTTTGCTGATCAGAACTGAGTAGGGCTAAATGACAAAAGCTTCTGGCTTTGTAATCCTTACATCATCTGGTCTTTTTGTTGTTGTTTTTTTTTGAGTCAGAGTCTTCACTCTGTCACCCAGGAGAGTGCAGTGGCACGCTCATGGCCACCACAGCCTCGACCTGCTGGGCTCAGGCGATTCTTCCACCTCAGTCTTCCAAGTAGCTGAAGCTATAGGCATGCACCACCACACCCAGATAATTTTTTTTTTTTTTGGTTTATTGTAGAGACAAGGTCTCACCAAGTAGCCCAGGGTGGTCTCGAACCTCTGGACTCAGGCAATCCTCTCACCTTGTCCTCCCAAAGTGCTGGGATTACAGGATTGACCACTGCACCCTACCCTACCCTGTCTGGTCTAACCACCTCTACACTAAGAACTGTCAAACAAACCACTTATTTTTCAAGTTATGTCAACCTATATTTATCTTTCAGGCTAGTTCTAATCATCCAGGATTATCATTCACGATTTCTCCTAACTCAATACAATACATAGTACATTTCAGTCTTCAACCAACTCTGGACTCAAATTTCTTTATCTTCATATAAAAGCCTGACCATTGCCTTTATCGATTTTGCTGTCATTTTATAAAATTTCCCTCCTGCTCAATTTGTTCTTTCTGGAGGCACAATGATTGAACTCCATTCAATAACCTAAGAATGGATAGGCTGGGCACAGTGGCTCATCCCTATAATCCCAGCACTTTGGAAGACCCAGATGAGAGGACTGCCTGAGCACACAAGGTTCGATACCAGCCTGGGCAACTTGGCCAGACCTCACCTCTACAATAAATCAATAGAAAAAAAAAAATTAGCCGGGTGTGGCAGTGTATGGCTGTAGCTCCAGCTACTTGGAAGGATGAGGAGGAAGGATCACCCCAGAGCCCAGTAATTTGAGGCTGTGGTGGTCATGAGCATGTCACTGCATTTTAGTCTGGGCAACAGAATAAGACTCCAACTCAAAAAAAAAAAAAGTATAGATATATTGAGATTTGTTACCAAGATTATGCAGTCTACTTTTAAATTTTATCATTTTATTTTTCACAATCCTCTCAGGAATGACTAATATTTCACTAACCTTTATGGCAATTAATGTAGGCAACAAACTCAGGGATAAACTAATCACCAGGCCTGGTATCTATACTGATATGCACTAGCCACTTTTCTGTTCATGCACACAGGTACAAAACATTTACCCACACTCTAACTTTCTTAGCTAATAATTTCTGACAAGAAAAATTAACTGTCAGCTGGGCTTGGTGGCTCAGCCTGTAATCCCAGCACTTTGGGAGGCTGAGGTGAGTAGATTGCCTGAGCCCATGGGTTTGAGACCACCTGGGCAACTTGGCAAGACCTCATCTCTACAATAAATAAAAAAATTAGCCGGGCATGGTAGCGCGTGCCTGTAGTTCTGGCTACTTGGAAGGCTGAGGCAGAAGGATCGCCAGAGCACAGCAGGTCAAGGCTGCGGGTGCCAGGAGCTGCACTCCAGTCTGGATGACAGAGTGAGACTCCAACTCAAAAAAAAAAGGAAAAGAAAAGCTAACTGTCACACACAAACTTGAAGATCCCTTATTTGCTCTTTTACAAGAAATAAGAATACTCTTGCTTAGCAGTATTCCCAAAAGGTATATTCTACTCTTTACTTGAATACCTGGAGAAAATCCTACCTCCAAATATGTTGTTCCCTCACATAACAGAAGAAATAATTTTCCCTCTTTAAAATCAAAATTAAATGTATGTCAGTCTTTTGTATGTTTATTTCTTCAAAGAAAATAAACTAACATTCACTGATGTGCTGAATGCTTTAGTTAATATGTCATTTAATCACATAAGTGGAAATTACGATCCCCATTTTACAGGTAAGAACTGAAAATAGGCCGGGCTCGGTGGCTCAGCCTGTAATCCCAGCACTTTGGGAGGCCGAGGTGAGTGGACTGCCTGAGCCCACAGGTTCGAGACCCGCTTGGGCAACTTGACAAGACCTCATCTCTACAACAAATCAAAAATTAGCCGGGCATAGTAGCGCGCACCTGTAGTTCCAGCTACTTGGAAGGCTGAGGCAGAAGGATCTCCGGAGCCCAGCAGGTTGAGGCTGCAGTGGCCGGGAGCGGCCATTGCACTCCGGTCTGGGTGAGAGTGAGACTCCAACTCAAAAAAAAAAGAACTGAAAATCAAAAAAGTTCAGTATTGTCCCATAAGACTGAGACCCAAGTCACCTTTTTTCTTTTTGTATGTCCTACCAATGTAACCAAATCTTTTGAGGTACAAAGAAAATGTCTTTCCCATACTGCCACGGCTCTCCTTAAAATACTGATTGTCTCTTCCCGTAAGAAGTCATGTTCATGCTGTTAAGAACATGAATTCAAAAATCAATGATTCAGCTAGCAATGGTGGCTCATGCCTGTAATCCCAGCGATTTGAGAGGCCTAGGCGAGAAAATGATTACCTGAGCCGAGGGATAATCGCTACAATAAAAATAAAATAAAAATTAGCCAGGTGTGGCTAAAAAACAAAATTGGATTAAAAAAATACTGGCCCATGCCTGTAGTTCCAGCTATTTGGAAGGCTAAGGAAGAAGGATCGTCTGAGTCCACCAGGTCAAAGCTGGGGTGGCCATGAACATGGTCACTGCACTCTAGCCTGAGTGACAGAGTGAGACTCTGAATCAATAAAAAAAAAAAAAAAGCCAGGCTTGGTGGCTCAGCCTGTAATCCCGTGCCTTTGGGAGGCTGAGGTGAGTGGATTGCCTGAGCCCGCGGGTTTGAGACCCGCCTGGACAGCGAGACCTCATCTCTGCAATAAATCAAAAAATCAGCTGGGCATGGTAGCGCATGTCTGTAATGCCGGCTACTTGGAAGGCTGAGGCGGAAGGATCGCCGGAGCCCAGCAGGTCGAGGCTGCGGTGGCCGGGAGCGGCCACTGCACTCCAGTCTGGGCGACAGAGTGAGACTCCAACTCAACAACAACAACAAAAAAACCTCCCCTCCCTCCAACCTAAGCCCTGGAGCGCTGAAATGGATGGGGTGGGAGGACAGAAGTGGGTACCCTCCTAGTGGGGTTTGGAGGGACTGGGTTCATGAAAGTACCATAAAAATAAAAATTTTTTTTTTTTTTGAGTTGGAGTCTCACTCTGTCGCCCAGACTGGAGTGCAGTGGCCGCTCCCGGCCACCGCAGCCTCAACCTACTGGGCTCCAGCAATCCTTCTGCCTCAGCCTTCCGAGTAGCCAGAATTACAAGCATGCGCTACCACGCCCGGCTGATTTTTTGATTTATTGTAGAGATGAGGTCTTGCCTGCCCAGGTGGGTCTCGAACCCGCAGGCTCAGGCAATCCACTCACCGCAGCCTCCCAAAGGCACGGATTACAGGCTGAGCCACCGAGCCCGGCAAAAAATTTTTTTAAAGGCTGGCACAGTGGCTCAAACCTGTAATCCCAGCACATTGGGAGGCGGAGGCGAGAGAACTGCCTGAATCCAGAGGTTCACGACCAGCCTGGGCAACTTGGCAAGATCTCGTCTCTACAATAGATAAAAAAATTACCTCTCTGAACTCAGACCTACTTGGCGGTGAAATGGCCAAATGCACCACTAAGTTTGGAATCATCGGTAAATATTGTGCCTCTCTGCAGAAAATGGTGAAGAAGATTAAAATCAGCCAGCACACCAAGTACACTACTTGTTCCAACTGTGGCAAAACCAAGATGAATAGGCCGGGTGCGGTTGCGCAAGCCTGTAATCTCAGCACTTTGGGAGGCTGGGGCAAGAAGACTGCTTTAACCCAGGAGTTAAAGACCAGCATGGGAAACTTGGCAAGACCTCATCTCTACAATAAATTAAAAAAAAAAAAAAAAAATTGCCGGGCTCGGTGGCTCAGCCTGTAGTCCCGCGCTTTGGGAGGCCAAGGTGAGTGGATTGTCTGAGCCCGTGGGTTCGAGACCCGCCTGGGCAACTTGGCAAGATCTCATCTCTACAATAAAAATCAAAAAATCAGCCAGGCGTGGTAGCGCATGCCTGTAATTCTAGCTACCCGGAAAGCTGAAGCAGAAGGATCGCCAGAGCCCAGTAGGTCAAGGCTGTGGTGGCCGGGAGCGGCCACTGCACTCCAATCTGGGTGACAGAGTGAGACTCCAACACACACACACACACACACACACACACACACACACAATTTAGCCAGGTGTGGTAGTGCATGTCTGTAGTTCCAGCTACTTGGAAACTTAGAAGGCTGAAGCAGAAGGATCGCCAGAGCCCAACAGGTCAAGGATGCGGTAGCCATGAGCATGCCACTGCACTCCAGCCTGGGCGACACAGTAAGACTCCAACTCAAAACAAAAAACAAAAAAACAAGATGAAGAGACAAGTTGTGGGCATCTGGCACTGTTGCTCCTGCATAAAAGTAGTAGCTGATGGAGCCTGGGACAACAATACCACTTCTGCTGCCACAGTAAAGTCTGCCATTAGAAAACTGAAGAAATTGAAAGACCAGTAGAAGCTCCATTTGAAACATCACTAGCCTATAATAAATGGCTTAATTTATGTAACAATAACAAAAAAAATTTAGCCAGGCGTGGTGGCACTTGACTGTGGTTCCAGATACTTAGAAGGCTGAAGTGGTAGGATCACCTGAGCCCACCAGGTCAAGGCTGTGGTGGCCGTGAGTGTGCCACTGTGATAGAGCCTCGGTGACAGAGTGAGACTCCTACCCCAAAATAAATATGTAAATAAAGGTAGCGTTCATGAACTTGAATGAAAAAGAATTACATCTTTATCTTCACTAACCTATAACTGAAATTAATATTTCCTTCAATTATGAAAGTACTCAGCACACACAGAGTATCTGCAGGACTATCACTAATTGTTATTTAATTCAGTAATAAACAGTGGTTCACTCCTGTAATCCCACCATTCTGGGTGGCCAAGGGAGAAGTATTGCTTGAGCCCAGGTGTTTAAAACCAATCTGGAGGCCGGGCTCGGTGGCTCAGCCTGTAATCCCAGCACTTTGGGAGGCCAAGGTGAGTGGATTGACTGAGCCCGCGGGTTCGAGACCCGCCTAGGCAACTTGGCGAGACCTCATCTCTACAATAAATCAAAGATTAGCCAGGCGTGGTAGCGTGCGTCTATAGTTCCAGCTACTTGGAAGGCTGAGGCGGAAGGATCGCCAGAGCCCAGGAGGTCGAGGCTGCAATGGCAGGGAGCGGCCACTGCACTCCAGTCTGGATGACAGAGTGAGACTCCAATTCAAAACAAAAAACAAAAAAAAAACCAACCTGGGAAACATATCAAGACTCCATTTTAGCCGGGCTCTGTAATTCCACACCTTTGGGAGGCTGAGGAGAGTGGATTGCTTGACCCCGCGGGTTCAAGACCCGCTTGGGCAGGCGAGACCTCATTTCTACAATAAATCAAAAAAATTAGCCGGGCGTGGTAGCGCGCGCCTGTAATTCCAGCTACTCGGAAAGCTGAGGCGGAAAGATCGCCAGAGCCCAGCAGGTCGAGGCAGCAGTGGCCGGGAGCGGCGGCCGGGAGCGGCCACTGCACTCCAGTCTGGGCGATAGTGAGACTCCAACTCAAAAAAAAAAAAAAACTCCATTTTGACATAAAATGAAAAAAATTAGCTGGGCATGGAGGTATGCACATTTAGTTCTAGCTACTCGGGAAGCTGAGTGGGATGATCACTTGAGCCTAGGTATTTGAGTCTGCAGTGAGCCATGATCACACTACTGCATGGACCACAGAGTAAGACCCTGTCTCAAAACAATAATGTTTTTGTTTTTTTTTTGAGTCAGAATCTCACAGTCGCCCAAACTGGAATGCAGTAGCACACTCACAGCCACCCCAGCCTCTGCCTGCTGGGATCAGGCAATCCTTCCACCTCAACCTTCCAAGTAGCTGGAACTACAGGTGCGCGCCACCATGCTTGGCTAACTTTTTGATTATCGTGGAGATGAGGTCTCAATAAGTTGCACAGGCTGGTCACGAAACTCTGGACTAAGGCAATCCTCTCGTCTTGGCTGCCCAAAGCGATGGGATTACAGGCTTGAGCCACTATACCCAGCTGAAATAGTACTTTAAAATGACTTGAGGGCCAGGCATGGTGGCTCACACCTATAATCCCAGCACTCTGGGAGGCCAAGGTGAGAGGACTGCCTGAGCCCACAGGTTCGAGACCAGTCTGGGCAACTTGGGAGACCTACTCTATACAATAAATAAAAAATTAGCCAGGTTTGGTGGCGCGTGTCTGTAGCTCCGGCTATTTGGAAGGTTGAGGCAGAAAAACCCCCTGAGCCCAGCAGGTTGAGGCTGTGGTAGCCATAAGCATGCCATTCCACTCCATCCTGGGCAACAGAGTGAGACTCTCAACTATAAATAAATAAATAAATAAATAACTTTAGGTTTCTTTAAAAATACTCTTTAGATTTTTTTTTTTTTTTTTTTGAGAAGACAGGACTACAAATAACAGGAGAATACTGATTCTCTCATTTACTGGCTGTATGATTCCATTGGGTTTCAATTTTCCCACCTGCAAAATGAGGATACCTAGAGTTTTATGAGGATTAAAATAAGAACACATGGGTTGGGCATGGTGTCTCATGCCTGGAATCCTAACACTTTGGAAGGCTGAGGTGGGAAGCTCACTTAAGCCCAGGAATTCAAGACCAGCCTAGGCAACATAGTGAGACAATACCCCTACAAAAGAAAATCTAAAATTAACTGGGATGGTGACGTGTGCCTTGATTGTGCCACTGTCCTCTAGCCTGGGCAACAGAGTGAGACCCCAAATCAAAATAAATAAATAAATGTAATAAAATGGTAGCATATAAGGTACCTACCATATAACTAGATCATTAGAGGTGTCTACTGTTAGTGCCTATGTCCTTCTTATTCTCTGCATGCTATAGCCTATTATCTCAAACTTCTGATGCTTAAGCTCCAACTTTAAAATTTATTTACCCCACAAAACCATAATAAAAAATATTGATTATGGAAAAAAAAACTTATTAGCCAGGGCCAGGCATGGTGGCTCACGCCTGTAATCCCAACACTCTGGGAGGCAGAGGCAAGAGGACTGCCTGAGTCCAGGGGTTCTTGAGACCCGCCTGGGCAACTTGGCAAGATTTCATCTCTACAATAAACCAAAAAATTAGCCAGGCATGGTAGCGCATGCCTACAGATACAGCTACTTGGAAGACTGAGGCCGAAGAATCACCAACATGTCGAGGCTGCGGTAGCTGTGAATATGCCACTGCACTCCAGTCTGAGCGACGGAGTGAGACTCCAACTCAAAAAAATGAATAAAAAATAAATAAAAATAAAAAACTTATTGGGGTCAGGAGTAGTGGCTCAAATCTATAATCCCAGCACCTTTGGAGGCGGAGGTGAGAGGACTGCCTGAGCCCATGGGTCCAAGATCAGCCTAGGCAATGTGGCAAGACCTCATCTCTACAATAAATCAAAAAATTAAGCCGGGTTCGGTGGCTCGGCCTATAATCCCGCGCCTTGGGAGGCTGAGGTGAGTGGACTGCCTGAGCCTGCAGGTTCGAGACCCGCTTAGGCAACTTGGTGAGACCTCATCTCTACAATAAATCAAAAAACTAGCCAGGCATGGTAGCGCACGCCTGTAATTCCGGCTACTCGGAAGGCTGAGGTGGAAGGATCGCCAGAGCCCAGCAGGTCGAGGCCACGGTGGCCAGGAGCGGCCACTGCACTCCAGTCTGGGCAACAGAGTGAAACTCCAACTCAAAAAAAAATTAGCTGGGTATGGTGGTGTTTGCCTGTACTTCCGGCTACTTGGAAGACTGAAGCAGGAGACTCATCTGAGCCCAGCAGGTCGAGGCTGTGGTTGCTGTGAGTGTGCCATTGCACTCCAGTCTGGGAGCCAGAGTGAGACTCCAACTCAAAAAAAAAAAAAATTTAATGATCAAACATGGTGGTTCACACGTGTAATCCTAGAACTTTGGGAGGCCAAGGCAAAAAATTGCCTGAGCCCAGGAGCTCAAGACTAGGCTGGGCAACATAGTGAGACCTTATCTCTATTAAAAAAATCAAGAGCCGGGTTCGGTGGCTCAGCCTATAATCCCGCGTCTTTGGGAGGCCGAGGTGAGTGGATTGCCTGAGCCCGCGGGCTCGAGACCCGCCTGGGCAGCGAGACCTCATCTCTACAGTAAACCAAAAAATCAGCCAGGCGTGGTAGCACATGCCTGTAATTCCGGCTACTTGGAAGGCTGAGGCGGAAGGATCACCGGAGCCCAGCAGGTCGAGGCTGCGGTGGCCGGGAGCGGCCACTGCACTCCAGTCTGGGTGACAGAGTGAGACTCCAACTTAAAAAAAAAAATCAAAAATTAGCCAGCGTGGTGATGTACACCTGTAGTTCCAGCTATTCCAGAGGTTGAGGCTCAAATATCACCTGAGCCCAGGAGGTTGAGGCTACTTTAGTGAGCCATGATCATGCCACTACACTCCAGCCTAGGCAACAGAATGAGGTCCTTACTTAAAAAAAAAAAAAAATTCAACTATCTTCCTACACAAACTCAGTTTCTTATTAACCTTATCCCAAACTGTCCACTCTAAAATCCACTGCATGGGCTGAGTGCGGTGGCTCAAGCTTGTAATCCCAGCACTTTGGGAGGCTGAGGTAAGGGGATTGCCTGAGCCCACAGGTTCGAGAATAGCTTGAGCAACTTGGAGAGACATCATCTCTACAATAAATCAAAAAATTAGCTGGGCGTGGTAGCGGGTGCCTGTACCTCCAGCTACTTGAAAGGCTGAGACAGAAGGATTGCCTGAGCGCAGCAGGTCAATGCTCGATTGCTCATGAGTGTTCCACTGCACTCCAGCCTGGGCAACCGAGTGAGACTCCAACTCAGAAACAAAAAAATCTGTTTCTTTGACTTAATCATATTTCCACCTTAATGTTCTCAAAATGTTGTTAGACACAATCTTTCCTAATGACATGTGTGCTCTCTACAGTTAGTTCCTACCAAAGTGTACAAAAGTCGACTGGTATTCTTCTGAAATAAAATGTAGAGAAAAAAACACTGTAAACTGAAAAAATGAAATTGAATCCCTTAAAAACAAAATTCATTTTATAATCTAGAAGATAAGTCACTTTTACCACATATAATCATCCCAAATTGTCATTGTATAGAAAGAAGAGCTTGGGAATTTGTGTGTGTGTGTGTGTGT